ACCGGTTCTCCAGAACGGGTCAGAACTGGCTGAATACCACCTCTGCTTATGACCTTTGCAGCATTCCCATGGTCATGTGATCAAAATCCATACGCTTGGCAACTGACTCCTTTATATGACGGTCGTGTCTCCTTGGGCCTCAGGTGATTCTCCTTTTGGCAACTTTCCGATAAGCCAAGTCCGTGGGGAAGCCAGCTTCACTTAACCACCATGTTTCTAACTGAACAACCACAGTGACTCACTTAGCAATGGCGGCCCGAGAGGTTGCAAAACGAAGCAAAACTCAACATTTTGCTTAGCAACACATATGTTGATCTCCTGCTGCGATTGTAAGTCGAGGAATACCAAACTGCGGTTACCTAGTTACTATCTTTGAAAAATTATTTATGGAATACACTTTCGGTTTGCAAGCTGCTGCACTGCTCCCCCCTCCCTTTCTGTTGGCAACTCTAAAAAGACCACAGAAATATTTTATGAGTTGACAACTCAATTAACAACTGTCTCATTTAGCCACAAAAATTTGGAGTTCAATTTTGAAGTCCGCTTTTACTTAGCATCCCACAGACAAGCTGACCCTGGACCATGCAGGGTTTTAAAGGTGGTGATTTTAAGTATACGGTAATTTAACCAAGGCTGAGTAAGAATTGAGAAAGGGACACGTGAGATTTTTGGGGTGAGAACTCCTACACAGGGTCACTCAGATCTGTTTGGGGTATGCTGCCAGGCTGAAGATGCCCCTTGGAATGAAAAGAGGCATTGAACCTGTAGTATCCTTTACTAATGTGTCTGTAACCTTTAAAATGGTTTGGATTTCAGACAGCTGGTGTTTCCTTCTGGGGTAATAATGTTAATATGTGAAGGTTTTATTCAAGACTAGCCATGTTTCATTTTGCTTCTCGGTCATCCTTTTAGCTCTGCTCCAAGATGGGCACCCAAGCCTGCTATTAGAAGTGGATTATGGGGCTGGAAATCAGCATTTCTCAATAAACTGCTGATGCATAAAACTTTTTTCTGCAGCATGTCAAGTGTGCCAAGTAACCGTCTCACCTTTGCTTACTCTAGTTGTGTAATGGAGATCTCTCTCCCTCTCCCTCCCCCTCCCTCTCTCTCCCCCTCCCCCCTCTCCTTCTCCCTCTCTCTTTCCCTCTCTCTCCCCCTCCCTTCCTCCCTCCCTCTCCCTTTCTCCTTTCCTCTCCCTCTCTCCCCCTCCCCCTCTCTCTTTCCCTCTCTCTCCCTCTCCCTTTCTCCTTCTCTCTCCCTCCCCCCTCTCCCCTCTCCTCCCTCTCTCTCTTTCCCTCTCTCCTTCTCCCTCCCTCCCTTCCCCTTTCTCCTTCCCTCTCCCTCTCCCTCCTTCTCCCTGTCCCTTTCTTTCCCTCTCCCTCTCCTTCTCCCTCCCTCTCTCTTTCTCCCTTCCTCTCTTTCTCCCCCCTCTCCTTCTCCCTCTGTCTCTTTCCCTCTCTCTTTCCCTCTCTCCCCCTCCCTCTCCCTCCCCTTCTCTCCCTCTCCCTCCCTCCCTCTCTCTCTCCCTCCCCCTCTCTCTCCTCCCCCTCCCTCTCTCTCTGCCTCTCTGTCCCTCTCTTTCCCTCTCCCTCTCTGTCCCTCCCCCTCCCTCTTTTTCTCTGTTTTTCTCTCTCTCTGTGTGTGTATCTGTTTGTAGAAATAGTTCAATTAGCTTCCAAAGAACTGGGATTGTCTTGGAGAAGAGGAAGAAAAAAACCCCCCTGTTTTTGCAAAGTCATGTTTCATTCATTCTCACCTAATTGGAAATAGAAAGGATATTCAATATATCGTAACACGTGTGTTCTTGAATTTTAGGGCTGCAGAACAGTGCTGCCCGAAGACAGTTTTTACTTGAGCGCTTACTGGATGCAGTTAAACAGGTGAGAAATTGAATGTTTACCTGTTTGAAGTTACGATGACACAGAGGGGAAAGGGGGCCTTGTGTCCAATTCTCACCCTTCACAACTTCACAGCATCTCACGCTTTCTTCCCTTCTTGTTTTTTTCTTAAAAAAGTAATCTGATGTTTAAAATTGCGTGTTTGTGCAAACTGTTGAGTACATGGAAGTTTATCCCAGCCAGCTTTGTTGCTAACGCACAGACTTCGTCTTACAGTGCCAGATCCGATTTGGAGGAAGGAAAGAGATCGCGTCTGATTCAGATAGCAGGTAAGTTTGAAACAAGATTTTTCCCCACCCCCCCAAATGAGAAGTTCAGTCTGCAGGGTCTGCAGGTTTGATGGCGGGCGTGAACTCTCAAGAGAAGTTGAGAACCTCTGCAACGGAGGAGGATACCCAGGATCCTTTCAGTACCTTATTTTATATTCCTCAAACAAATCTGTCCATGATTATTGTTGGTTGGCGTTGTAATTTCTTGCCAGTTCTGGCAGGAACTGCCCCAGTAACTGAAGTATTTCTCTTAAAATAGACTTCTTCTTGTTATGGTCCACTAAGTCACGTGTCTCCTGAAGACTACGAGTCCATGTGGTTTTCAGAAATGGTTTCTCATTGCCTTTTTTCCCTGGGGCTGAGACAGAGAGGGGGGGACTGGCCTACAACCATCCTAACAATTCATTTCTTTTTTTTTTTGAAAACAATTTTATTGGTTTTTTAACAAACAAACAAAACAGACAAAACATAAAAGCATCAGCTCTCTTCCGTACTATACAAACAGTGTGTCGGTTGGTTCATCAATCTTGTGCATTCATTTCGTAGTCTCAATTACAGTTATGTTACATAATAACTCTTATTATCAATCCAAACTTATATATCCTCATATCATCATTAAAGAAAATCATTTGACTATGCTTTTATTCATTCATACTTTATGAGATAACTATAATTTAAGCAATTTATTCTATAACAAATCATATAATCATACCAATTCTATCCTAAAAAACACTTTATAGATGTGGTGTCAAATAACAAAAGAAAAAGAAAAAACAAAGATATTCCTTATTATCTAACATTCTAAATATTCTATTATTGTATTTCATCGTCCAACCATTGATAGAAAAGGTCCCAAATTTTATAAAATTGTTTATTTTCTTGCTCTCTAATTTCAAATGTCAATCTACTCATCTCAGCACATTCCAATATTTTCTTAATAATTTCTTCCTGCAATGGAATTTTCTCATTTTTCCAATTTTTAGCAAATACAATCCTAGCCGCAGTTAATACGTTTACAATCAGATATTTCAAGTCTTTACTGTATACATCTGGTACGATTCCCAATAAAATTCATTTCTAATGGAGCCGTTGAGCCAAGGCTTTTAACACAGAGGTGTCCAACCTTGGCAACTGTAAGACCGTGGATTTCGACTCCCATAATTCCCCAGTCACCCCTCCCTCTTCATTGGAAATGTCTGGCCTCTCTTGACACTTTTTTCAGCTTATAGGAGATGCAGTTCGTCCAAACATCTGGAGATGGTTTGGTGGGACATCTGACCTGTGACTTGATGATGACCCAGGCAATTTGATCAATTCCGAAAGACGTCTTTAAGCAAGAGACATCGTCTTTAGCAAACCTCCGCTCCTCGTCTGTCCTTGTCACCCTCTTTACCTTGATCCAAACTGTCAGATGGAGGAGCACTTGAAAATAAAAGTGATAAAATACTATTGATCGTGCTTGTTCTGGGAATCCCTTTACAGCAGAGGCATTGAGTTTTGAAGAAGTTGATGTAAGAAGGTTTTACACCCCTTAGTTTCTCTTCTCTGTTTTTGGAGTTAGGGACATAATACTTACCAATAATTTTCAGGGGATTTCTGTTGTTATGGTGTGGTTACATCCCGTCCGTTTCTCCAGAAAAGCAGTTGTGCTTTGAAGTTTCTCTTCTTCTTCTGTTTCCTTTTCATGTCATGGGGCTGTTATAAAATGAAGCTGCAGGCTGTGACGGTTTTTGCCTTGCAGTACATATTCAGCTTTTAGAAAACCTTTAGGCCCTTGTTAGGAAATCTATCAACAGAAATTAGGAAGCGAGGATTGTAACTCCGTAGCTCTGGAGCGGGAGTTACCCTTGGCTACATTCACTGAATGTATGGTTTGAATGTGGTCCTTTCCAAGGGTTGGATTCTACCGGTTCAGACCGGTTCTATAGAACCGGTTGTTAGGATTCTGTGCAGTTTGGAGAACTGGGAAATCGTGCCCCTGGCTGGCCCCGCCCTTCTCTGCCCGCCCCTCCCCTCCCAGTCAGTCCTTAGCGCACATGCCCGACATCGCTGACCGCATTCTCCCCCCAACCCGCTCAGTCACTTCCTAAGGTATTTCTTTTTTTCCCCGCCCGACGATCAGCTGCGCCGATGATCAGCTGTGCCAGGATCCCACTTGCTGTCTTGCTGCTTCGCCTGGGACGCTTCCCTGAGGCCCAGGAGGCAAAAAGGAGCAAGGGGGGACGCGTGGGGATGTGGGCGTGGGGCTGCACCTCTCCCAGGCTCCATTTTTTTTTGCCTTCCTGGGCCCCAGGGAAGGCTTCTGGGATCAAACCCCCCCCCCCCCCGCCCCTTTTTGCCTCCTGGGCAAAAAAAAATGCGGGTTTTTTTTTTGCTGCAAAACAAAGAAGCCACACCCATCCAGTCACATGGTCACAGCCACCTAGCCACACCCACGGAACCGTTTGTTAAACCATTTGAATCCCGCTCCTGGTCCTTTCTAAAAAAGCGAACAAAAGACAGGGGGGATTCTCTTTTCTCATCCTAGTCTGGTGTTTCTCAGCTCTGAGAACTTTGAGCTGGGGGGGTGGGGGACAACGACGCTCAGGATTCCCCAGCCAGCTTAAAATTTCCAAGGTTGAGAAACGCTGATTCAGGCGCCAAAAAGGTCCGCCATCACTGGGGCATTTGGAAAAAAGTACTTCTTAGGCCTCTGAAGAGAATTTGTATAAGACGTTTTACAGGTGGCCTCTATCCCCAATGAGAATTGCTAAGATGGTTGAAGATAAGTCGGCGAAGTGTTGGAAATGCCAGAAGTTACCAGGATCATATTACCATACGTGGTGGACACGCACAGAGACTAAAATGTATTGGGCTAAAATACACGTGTGGCTGGAGAAGATGACAAAACAACCGATAGATTTAAAACCAGAGACATTTTTATTGGGAATTTTGCCTGAGGGATACAACAAAGAAAGAATGTATTTGATTATTAATATTTTAACAGAAGCTAGGATTGTATTTGCACAAAATTGGAGAAATGAAAAATCTCCATTCCCTCCCCACCCCACTAACCTGCTTTCCAGCTCTGTTTTCCTGTGCAGGGCAACCAAAGGAGACCCAGCCAATCAGCTGGGACTCAATGGGAGGCAGAGAAGAGATGGGGTTGGTGGGGCCAGTCAGAGGTGGGGAGGTGGGATTGCCCGGTTCTCTGAACAACTCAAAGTTTCCACTACCGTCTGAATACCACCTCTGGCCCTCAGTCTCTGCTTCCCTCCATTTTGCACAAGATTTCCCGTTCCATTTGCGGTTGTTTTTCAGAGTCACATGCCTCTGCGCGCAGTTTGAGTCCGTCCTTCAGCATGGTTTGAAGAGGACCCGGGGCTTAGCTTTGACCGCCGCCGCCATCAAGCAAGTCACCGGTTTCTCCAGTAAAACGGAAATGGGTAAATTCAGCCTTCTAGCATGCTTGCCTCTCCCGCATTCTCGCCCCCAGCCCCAAAAGCTTCCTTCTGTGCCAACTGAACTCATTTCAACAGCATCGCGGGGAGGAAAAAGACGATGACTGTTCCCATGTTGGGCACATCTCTTCTGTTGTGGTTGTGTGCCTGGGGGTGCTCTTTTCGGGTGGGGAAAATACTTGGCTGTGGATCTCTTTCCTAAAAATAGAATAGAATAGAATAAAATAGAGTAGAGAAGAATAGAATAGAATAGAATAGAATAGAATAGAATAGAATAGAATAGAATAGAATAGAATAGAATAGAATAACAGAGTTGGAAAGGACCTTGGAGGTCTTCTAGTCCAACCCCCTGCCTAGGCAGGAAACCCTACACCACTTCAGACAGTTATCCAATATCTTAAAAACTTAAAAATTAATTTTTCTAACTGTCAGGAAATTTCTCCTTGATTCTAGATTGCTTCTGTCCTTGATCAGTTTCCATCCATTATTCCTTGTCTGGCCTTCAGGTGCTTTGGAGAATAGCTTGACTTCCTTTTTCTTTGGGGCAGCCCCTGAGATATTGGAACACTGCTATCATGTCTCCCCTAGTCCTTCTTTTCATCAGACTAGACATACCCAGTTCCTGCAACCGTTCTTCATGTTTTAGCCTCCAGTCATCTAAATCATCTTTGTTGCTCTTCTCTGCACTCTGTCTAGAATGCAGAGAAGCAGGTAAAAAAAAGCAGGTAATGTGAAAAATGACAGGTACACCACTGGAGTAATGGTATCTCTTTCTGAGAGGGTTTTTGAGCTTCATGGATCCTTGCATCGTGGTGAGGGAGCTGAGATTCTGGAAATTCTCTTTACTTTGGGAGCTGAAGAGAGTAATCAGGAAGAAATAGCTTTTTGATTGTGGACTTTCTCTCTGCAAATACATTGGTTCCTCTTTTTTGCCAATTGCAAAGGTTAAGTCACTTTTCAGAAAACACTTAAAATGCGGTGATGGTTTTTGGAAAACATCAGCTATGTTTTGCTTTCTAGATCAGTGTTTCTCAATATTGGTGGTTTAAGATATGTGGACTTCAACTCCCAGACTTCCCTAGCCAGCATGAATTCTGGGAGTTGAAGTCCACACACAGATTCTTAAATCACCCTGTGATTAAGGCATTCAACCACCAATTAGCTTGTGAAACTCGGTCTGGACATCACACAAAACCTAATGTCAACATGACTTAAAATGAGATTTCCAAAATAATCGAACAGCCTGTCTTGCAAGCTCTTTGAGTTAATGCTCAGGTGTCCAACTTTGGAAGCTGATTCCCCAGCCAGCATGAATTCTGGGAGTTGAAGTTCATACATGATTTTGGGAAATTCATGGATTCTGGGAATTCTGGGAGTTGAAGTCTGCACATCATAGAGTAGCTGGCTAGGACATTCTTCCAGACGTCTTAAAATCTCCAAGGTTGAGAAACACTGTCCTAGGTGATTGGCTGTGGGCCATTTTAAAATTTTACTGCTGTTTTATGAGATCAACTCCACATTGGCGATAGGAAGGGCATCCGGCCAGTAATCACTCAGCTCCATTGCCCAGACTCCATCCAACAAGGGATTATGAGGTCATTAAAAGATGATGAGTTATGATTTTTATTTTTTTTTATGGTTTGAGATTTGTACTTGTGGCAGAGTATAAGTATTGGGAATGAATAGATTGATTGATCGAGAGTTCCGTGTTCTCCATCCATTTTTAGCTGCCCAGAGTTGCGATATTGAGATGGATAGCCAAACTTCAAGCGTACTTGTGAATCTACTTTTTTCTCCCCAGAATCCATATTTTGGTACTATGTGAAAGAAGTTCTTAATAAACACGAACTGCAACGTTTCTATTCCCTGAGAAACATCACTACGGATACAGGTCGAGGCCGGGCTTGGCTACGCTGTGCTCTCAATGAACATTCCCTAGAAAGATATTTGCATATGTTGCTTGCAGATAAAAACCATCTTAGGTAAGTTTTCTAAATGTTCCTCTTCATGGGCGTGGTTTTGGAAAGGGGATTTTTTAGCTAGATGTAGTTCTTAGTAGAAGAGAATATTTGTAGCTCATGGTTGAACTGGGGAGTTTCTCTGAGCTTGCTTGCTTTCTGGCAGACATTTCATTACCCAAATAGGTAACATCATCAGTGCTGGAAGGAAGTGGAGTTTGCAGGGGGAGGAGGAGGAGAAGGAGGAAGAAGAAGAAGAGGAAGACAGTGGGGTCCTTGATGCTCTGTGAGCTTAGTTGTTTTCTAGCAGACATTTCATTACCGAAATAGGTAACATCATCAGTGCTGGAAGAGAGTGGAGTTTGCAGGGGGAGGAGGAGAAGGAGGAAGAAGAAGAAGAGGAAGAGGAAGACTGTGGGGTCCTTGATGCTCTGTGAGCTTAGTTGTTTTCTAGCAGACATTTCATTACCAGACTAGGTCACAGCATCAGTGCTAATAATAATAATACTAAAACAGATATTTGCCATTTGTCTCAAATTGCATTGGCTCTCCTGCCATGGGCAAAAAATTTGGACTAGGAGACCTCCAAGGTCTCTTCCAACCCCATTACACGTAGCCCTCAACTTATGATAGTTGAGCCCAAAATTTCCAGTGCTAAGCAAGACAGTTGTTATTTTCTTTTTTTCTTTTTTTCTTTTTTAACCCTGCCTTTTTGTCTTCAGCGTCTTCTATGAAGACTGGTCCTTCTTGATGGACGAAGAACGATCCAGTATGATTCCCACCATGGCAGCTGGTAAGCATGGCCCCAACGTCTTAGGACCAAGCCAAGGCAGCTTTAAAAGCTTCTGGGCTCCTTCGCTTGTCTCACTGTCATTGAAGCCAATCGTCTCAGCTGCACCCTACGGAATGATCTGCAGCAAGGGTTTGTGTACCGACCTGAAGTACACATTGTGGTTTACAAGCCATAATAGCTTCACTTGGGAACTAACAATCACTGCGGATCATGCCGCCCAGCAGTGGGATCCTGCCAGGGGTGGGATTCTACTGGTTCTCACCGGTTCGATAGAACCGGTTGTTAACTTTCTAAGCAGTTCGGAGAACCGATTGTTGGAAGAAATCTCCTTTTGTTTTTTTTTTCCTACCCTGCTTACATTCTTGGCAGTGTGCCTAGACTTACTGTCTCCAAAGGAGGTTCTTTTTTTTTTTTCCCTTTTGCTGGTACTTTCTTAAAGGGGAAGGGTTGTTTTAAGGTTTTTACACTGCTGTTGGGAGGAAATACTCCCCTGTTGGAGTTAGCACTTTGAAGAAATAATTGAAAAACAAAACAGAGCTGCCAGAAAGAAGCTTTTAATGACAAGGAACCAAGATGAGTGACATTCAACAAGGCTTCTTGGCTAGCTAGAAAGATTGACATTCAAGCGTGAGTTTACATACCCTTTTTGAATTTTGGTCTAAAACTGGTGGCCATTCAAAGTTACAATGGCACTGAAAAAAGTGACTTATGACCATTTTTCACACTTACGACCGTTGCAGCATCCCCACTGTCATGAGAGGTCAGGTGAGGAGAAGCGCCCCTCGATGTGAGTGACCACATCAAGTTGGCCGCGCCCAGCCAGTCACATGACCGCCAAGCCATGCCCACCAACTAAGCCACACCCACAGAACCGGTTGTTTAAAAAATTTGAATCTCACTCCTGGATCCTACCCGTTTTATTACTGGTTTGGTCATGGCGCACCCGCGCACCTAATACGTGCGCCCAGCTTTCCCCACAATGGCTGAGAGAATAAAGAAGAGAAAAGCAGAGGTGGGAAGGCCGATCCTGCGCTTTTCTCTTCTTTCTCCTCTCAGCTGATCGTGGGAAGCTTTTTATACAACCAGGTCGGCCGAACCAGTCCAAACCGGTAGCCTACCACCACGGACACCGTCTCTTCTTGGAACTCAATAGTCCCATTGGAATCAATTCAGGCTGACCCTAAAAGGTTGTTGTTGTTGTTGTCTGTTTCTGCTTTATAACCAAAGGGCTGAACTCGATTCTTTTTGCAATCAACATCGACAATAAGGATTTAAATGGACCGAGCAAATGCCCGCCCTCTGTCTCCGACCTTCTCAAGGAATCCACCCAGAACGTGACCTCTTTGCTGAAGGAATCCACCCAAGGGGTCAGCACCCTCCTCCGGGAGATCACATCTTCATCTCCCGTTTCCATGCTAATCAAATCGGATCAGGATGCTGACCTCCTACCTATTTTATCCAAGAGTGTCAGTGGCGGTACGTGCTCTTTGCTTAATGACCAGTGGCTTCGGGACTGTTCAAAGACTGTTCAAAGTTCCCTCCCCAAAGTGACTTATGGCCGGATTCTGAAGTTCTGACAGCTTCATAGACTCACCCCACCTGCAGTCCCACGACCACATTACAAACACTTGGCAACTGGCCAATGTTTATGGCTAGTTACGGTGTTCTGCAGTTATGTGAACATGATTAACAGTGTATTTTCCCAGTTTCTTGTTTCACTTAATGACCATGATGTTTGCTTAATGATCGCCACAAAAAAAGGCATACATTCAGGTCAGGTTACATTTACATTTACATTTACATATACATATACACATACATATATATAAGTATCTCTATCTTTATAAAGTCTATATTTATCTCTATCTCTATAATCTCTAATATCTCTGTATCTCTATAATATCTGTCTAGGTCCCTCCCTCCCCCCCCCCCTCTATATGTGTGTGTGTGTGTATAATATCTATCTATTTGTCTGTCTGTCTGTCTATCTATCTATCTATCTATCTATCCATCCATCCATCCATCCATCCATCCATCCATCCATCCACTGTATCTATCTATCTATCTATCTATCTATCTATCTATCTATCTATCTATCCACAGACATACGTACATACATATATATATATACATACATACACAAAAGTAAGACATTGGGATCCAAGCCCTTTCATATGTTGAAGGAGAGAATGCAGCTTTATTATCCTGGTTCTATGAATATTGTAGACCAAAATTTATCTGTGTAAATTGAGAAAAAGAATAGCTTATTGCCCTGTGATTAAAGCATCCCACCACAAGTTAACCCCTTGAACTCAGTTTGGACGTCCCATTCCCATTCAAAAATAGTAGAACAGTCTAATCTTGCAAGCCCTTTGGGTTAAGGCTGGGGTATCTATGGACTTCAAACTCCCAGAATTCAATTCCTAGCATGGCTGGCTGGGGAAATTCTGGGGGTTGAAATCCACAGGTCTTAAAAGTTGCCATAGTTGGACCCCCCCCCCCCCCCCCCGAGTTAAAGTCTTCCCTTTGAGTCCTCCTTTCCTTCCTTCAGATTTAAAATGCCGGAAAGATCGCACGAAGAAAAAGAAGAAAGTCACAAAAATCATTTCGTTCGATGATGAAGAGGGCGTACTTTTGGGGACCCCCCTACGGGGGACAGCGGCAGGGGAAGACTCCGAAGATGGCTGCGACAGACTGTCAGCCTCGGCAGCTTCTTCGGTAACTGAACAGATGGATCTTCTGCCCGGCAACCAGGAAGACACGTCGCTGAAACATCATTCTGAGTACCTGAACGGAGACTGCAGCTACCTGAAACTAGATGTCAAAAGTATAGATGATGAAGAGGCCGAAGAGAACGAGGAGAACCACACCAGGACATTGAGGAACCACAGTGTGATGGAAGACACACAGGTGCTCGCAAAGTGAGTCTGGACCGAATACAGGTAGTCCTCGCTTAATGACCGTTCGAGTTTACGATGAATCTCCCCCCGCCCCACAAACAAAATACTCATTATCTGTCCTTGAAATTACAATTCCCCCTGGTGGTTATGTAATTGTCAGATGTGCCACAACTTAAACCTCCAAATTAGAAAAACAAGCCTTGGCTTCATTTGTAGAGAAAGGTATAGCTTATTATATTTATTATATACATACATACATACATACATACATATATATATATAATTTATTGATTTGATTTGATTTGATTTGATTTGTCAACCGCTTACAAGATAACAGGTATAAGTATAAACATAGTTATGAATACATGAAATGGGTACGTATAAGAAAAATAAAAAAGAAACAATAGGACAGGGACGGTAGGCACGTTGGTGCGCTTATGCACACCCCCTACAGACCTCTAAGGAAAGGGGTGAGGTCAATAGTAGACCGTCTAAGGTTAAAGTTTTGGGGGTTTCGGGAAGAAACCACAGAGTCAGGTAGAGTATTCCAGACATTGACCACTCTGTTGCTGAAGGCGTATTTCCTGCAATCAAGTTTGGTGCGGTTTACCTTGAGTTTGTATCTGTTGTTTGCTCTTGTATTGTTATGGTTGAAGCTGAAGTATTCATTGACAGGTAGGACATTGCAATGTATGATTTTATATACTATACTTAGATTAGAGATCAAGTGCATTGCAGTAGTGCAAAGCCAGAACTGAGAATCGCGGGCCCAAATCCCTAAGTTTTACTTTTCCTTCTTTAACTACCTCTCTGGTGTAACCAATCAGGTTCAGGCAAGATGTATTCATAGTGATCAGTCTGAGTGCAGTTTGGTATGTGGCCCCTCTCCTTCCAGCTACAAACCAGTTTGACATGCGGCCTCCCTCCTTCTTCCGGCTGGCAGACCTTGAGGCGGCATCGCAGCCTTTGCTTTCGCTTTCCCAGGCATTCCTCCATCCCTTCCCTCTCCCTGCAGCCTGTCATTGCATAGCAGCGAAGCACAGACAAGCCTAAAGTGGCAGGTGCTAGTACTAGCTAGCATTTCATATACTTGGCATCCAGCTCGTATTTACATCGTGCTTTCACATGATCATGATTTGCAATGTTTTATTGCCAGTTGGTGAGGTTTTTGTCCAGTGTCTGGCGAAAATCACTCCCTTCAGGAGATTGAGTTGAGCTAACTTGCTTGTGTGACTTGGGTTTGCTCAATGAGAGTTGTTTTACAACCATTGTAAAATTGAGTCGGGTCCCATGGTGGCTCGTTGAACAGCGTCAGTGACTTACGGCCAAAATTCTGGGCTCGGTTGTGGTTGTTAAGTGTGAATGTTACCTCTAGAGACATTTTTGTGCCTTAATTCAAGTATGGGCTGTTCGTTTATGGTATCCTGTGCTTTGTCACGTATGTGAGAAATCCCCAGAATCTGCCTCCTTTTATTCCCTCCCAGGTTTTGCCTTAGATATCTAACAACCCCTTTTGAGAATTCGTTAAATTTTGTTGTCAGGTTTCCAAGTGGTGAAATCCATTTAAAAAGGAAAGAACAAAGTCCACCTTCCAAGGCAATTTCTTTTATTTAGAAAAGCATCAAATTGACAAAGTCCGTGGTAATTCCGGATCTGACACAACCCGGAATTACCTCACAATATTAGAAGTTAGAAACAGCCCCCAAAAGTCACATTCTCCAAAAGAAGTAATTCAACGTTGCCTCATGTCATAAATCTGCAGCTCAAGGGGCCTGAGCATGGTCAGCTCATTTTCCCACGGGAAGAAGAATCACCTAGCCTAAACAACTCTCTCTATCTTGACTACTCCCCCCTTAGGAATGTGGCAAGCCCGAAACCCTTCCCCACATGACCGCCAAAGAAAAAAATAAGAAAAAGAATATATACTATATACTAAACCTAACTAAAATGGCTACACATATGTCAATTTCGGGCTTCACGTTTGTAGCCTTTGAACTTAACATTTCATAGAAAGGCCACCATGTTGATTGACCAGCAGTGACCAACCTTGGCCATCTTTAGACTTGTGGACTTCAACTCCCAGAATTCCCTAGCCAGCTGGCTGGGGAATTCTGGGAATTGAAGTCCATGGAACTTAAAGTGGCCAAGGTTGGACATCCCTGTGTTAGATTGAGTCCTTTTCCACCACTTACTATTTGTGGGGGGTTGTCTTAATTAACTAGACCCGCCGAAGGTGTGATGTCCCATTCGCTGGTTTGCACGGGGACGCCTCTACAAGTGCTGAACGATGACACGGATGAATTGTTCCCAGTCAACGCTGTGGGTTCTTTCTCCCAGAGTGGTAAGTAGGCTTGATACCACTTACATACCCTCCTGCGAGTCCCTTGGACTGCAAGGCCATTCAATCGGTCAGTCCTAGAGGAGATCAACCTTGACTGTTCTTTAGAAGGCCAGATCCTGAAGATGAAACTCAAAGACTTTGGCCACCTGATGAGAAGGAAGGACTCTCTGGAGAAGAGCTTAATGCTAGGAACAATGGAGGGCAAAAGAAGAAGAAGGGGACAGCAGAGAAGGACGGGGCTTGTGATGACCTGGGGCGTGGCACAAAGGCAACACAGTCAGATAATCAATAGGAGTCCCTTTAATATCTCCAACTTTGCCCCCAGTGTCCAGGTTATCTTCTGGCTGGAGAAAATCTCTCCCAGGAACAGCCTTTGATTGCAGGGAATCAAGTCCAAAACAGGGTCAACAAAAACCGTATTTTTTAAGTCCAATCAAGCCAAACTGAGGTAATTAGTTTGGCAGGGCAGGAGCAAGAATTTCAGACGTGGAGGCATGGCAAAACTCACATGGTTGGAAAGATGCCAGGAACACAGATAAGCAAAGACAACACAGGATAAAGTCACGTTTGCTCCCAGCAGCTGCCGTAGTTAGCATGCATCTCTTTTAAATTCCCAGGTGTGGCTAATGAAGGGAATCAGGGCCCTTTCCTCCCCGTAAGCCACGCAACTCACGTTGCTCCCTTCTCCGTTCCTTCCTGCATGCCCTAGGATGAAGAGGGGATGGGCCTGGGTCTCCCTCTCCCTTGTTCTACCTCTCCCCTGATCTGCCCAGCCGGCCTTTGCCCTTCCCCAGTTTCCTCCACAGCCAACGGAGCCACACTCCCTTCTCCCTGTCAGCTGTTCATCCTCCTCCTCGGATCCAGACTCCGACAGGGGCTTGTCAGGGCTGGATGGAGTCCCAGAAGCAGTTGGCGGGAGCTTAAATGGACTCTGGAGGATGGCAGAGGACAGGAAGGCCTGGAGGAACGACTTTGCAACTAACAACAACAACCCCTCTGTGGTCTCAAACGGGCTTTTTCCGATTTGGCAACTGGGCTTTCTTGGTTTTTTTCTTTTTTTTTAATGTTTTCCTTTGAAAACGTTTCGCTTCTTTTCTAAGAAGCTTCCTTCAGAACTGACCATCACGCCATCCCTGTGGTCACTTGATCAGAATTGGGTTGCTTGGCAACCAGGTGGCCCTTGACTTATAACCCACCGTTCTTTTAGTGACCAAGTTACTAAAAGTTCTAAGTTGCAACGGCACTGAAAAAAAGTGAATTACGACCCGTTTCCATTGCAGCATCCCAGGGGCATCCCGGGATCCAAATTCAGAGGTTTGGCAACTGGCATGTACTTATGCCAGTTGCAGAATTTCAGGGTCATGTGATTTTCCCTTTTGTGACCTCTGACAAACAAAGTCAATGGGGGAGAAGCCGGTTTCACTTGACAACTGCAGTGATTCGCTTAACAAATGTGGCAAGAAAAGTCGTAAAAATGGGGCAAAACTCACTTAACAACCATCTTGTTGTTTAGCAATGGAAATGTTGAGCTCAGTTGTGGTTGTAAATCCAGGATTATTTATAGTCAAGAACTGGGTTTTTTTTTTAGCAACTATGTTCCTAACTTCTGCCAGCATTTTATTGTTTAAGTTGCATAATATAGGAACTTGGAAAAAAAAAAAGAATTCTATGCCAGCTAGTCATTTTATATAAATTATGCTTTTATTTCCTTCCCATGCCATTCATTATGGGGAATTCCAACGCAGCGGACAATTTAGACCATGAATTATTAAAAAATCTAATAGAAGAGAAGAAAGCCATTATGCAGCGGCCATAAAAGAAAAGAAAGCAATAATAAAATTCAATTATGCCCACGATAAGTTGGTTGAGGAGAGTTTATGTTTAGGACATTAGAGCTTATATGAGGAAGGTTAGGCTTCGGGGCTATAAAATTGTAGGAAGAAAAGTTTTTTAACCCATTTGTTTTCATTTCCCATTTCCCTAGCACCCAATATTCTCATCCCTGGCTATAAAAGCTCTGAAGGAGGGTAGCCAAAGGAGGTCTGAAGACATAACCAAGCTGACCATCTAAAACTAGGTTTTCAAATAGCATTAAGCTATGGTTTGTTTAACCATGACCTTTGGGATAAAACAGCCATTGTCTGGGTTTACAAAGGAGGCTGCTGCGAAGCCGAATAAATCACATCCAGGTTGTGCAACCCGTCAGTAGTTTTACTCCTTGCAGTAATCATCATTGGAGTGACCTTGCTCCATGTTGAAGGTGTTGGCTGTAACGCTTAATTCTTGGCAAAGGAGGTTTTCGATGTTAAATAAAGGAGTACGATCAATTTCAGCATCCAGATTTTAGAATAGAATAGAACAGAATAGAATAGAACTTTATTGTCAATTTAAATGTACACTAATCAGCATATATTAAAATGAAATGAGAGAGGAGAAGAGGAGGGAATAGAATGGAATAGAAGACAGTAGAGTAGAGTAGAGCAGAGTAGAGAGGAATAGAAAATAAAACAGACAATAGAGGAGAGGAGAGTAGAGAGTAGAGAGTAGAATAGAATAAGAATACAGAGTAGAGTAGAGTAGAGTAGAGTAGAATAGAATAGAATAGAATAGAATAGAATAGAATAGAATAGAATGTAGGACAGGACAGGACAGAATTCTTTATTGGACGCACAAGGAATTTGTCTCTGGTGCATAAGGTCACAGTGTACATAAAAGCAACAAGTAATAAGCATTTAATTTGCAGATGTTGCAGAAAGAGAGAGGTGTTAATGTATGGCAGCTAAAAACCAGAAAGAATTTAGTAACAACTTTTCCAAGTAACACTTCTTTTTTCTCAAGGTATACATTTTAATGGAAAGCTTACACCTTTTAATAAGACTTGTTAGTTGGAAAAAAATGCTGCCAGACTCCTCCCGGTGTTTAATTTAATGTATTGTTATTCCTCCACCTCGAAATTTTCATCCGGAGGGGAATTTCCCCGATACAGATGAATTTGGAGTGGAATTTAACAAGTCAGCAGACAAAAGAGAATGTGTGTGATAGCAGAATAGCGGAATAACTGAGTTGGAAGGGGCCTTGGAGGTCTTCTAGTCCAACCCCTTGCTCAAGCAGGACACCCTGAAAGACAAATGGTTGTCAGACGTCTTCTTAAAAATCTGCAGCTATTGGAGCATCCACAACTTCTGAAGGCAAGCTGTTCCACTGATTAATCGTTCTCTCTTTCAGGAAATTCCTCCTCAATTCCAAGTTGCGTCTCTCCTTGATTAGTTTCTATCTGTTGCTTCTTGTCCTGCCTTCAGGGGTTTGGAGAATAGCTTGACCCCCTCTTCTTCTTTGTGGCAGCCCCTTAGATATCGGAACCCTGCTATCATGTCACCCTTAGTCCTTCTTTTGTGTGCATGTGTGTAGAGTTGAAAAAGGGAAGAACTATAAGTCTAGGAGGGTAATATGCCAAACTTTTACTAACATACCTTTCTGTCGGCTACTTTAGAAAACCTGGAAGACAGCAACGAACATGAAAATGCAGATTTTTCAGTAGAATTGACTCAGAGCAATGCTGAATTGCACTACAGGTAATTAACTTATAAATTAAAAGGTCGTTCAACAAAACCACCAACCTACAGATAGTCCTCAACTTGCAACAGTTCATTTAGTGGCTGTTCGAAGTTACAACAGCACCGAAAGAAGGGACTTATGGTCAATTTCCACACTTACGACTGTTGCAGCATCCGCAAAAATTACTTGATCAAAATTTAGCCACTTGACCACTGATTCACAGTTATGATGGTTGCAGCATCCCGGGATGCTGCAACTGTCATAACTGTGAATCAGTGGTCAAGTGGCTGAATTTTGATCAGGTAATTTTTGCGGATGCTGCAAAAATTGATCCCCTTTTGTGACCTTCTGACAAACCAAGTTCATGGGGAAGCCAGCTTCACTTAACAACCATGTTACTAACTTAACCGCGGTGATTCACTTAGCAACTGTGGCAGAAAAGGTCCTGCTGTTTTAGACGCTGGCCATTTTAAAGTCGGTTGAGTTGAGCTAAATTGCCTTCTATTCATACGTCTTGATGGCAGAGTTTAGATTTGAACAATGTAGTGGTCCCCGTTGGCTGTAGAAGACTTCTGTTCTGACCTGAGATCGTAATTAAGCACACGCTTAGTTAAAACAAATCTTGTTTTATTTCAACGCTGGGAATTGTTGTCATTCCCGGCTGGTAATGAGTCCCAAACAGTCCCTTGAGTTAAGCACCCACTTTTCTCTCCTTTGAATTGCTGCCAACAACTAAAGTGCCAAAGTAACTATAAAAAGCCAACTGAAGTACAAAGAGCTTCAAGGATTAGTCCAAACAGAATGAACGACTTTGCTTCCTGCAAAGGTTTCGTCACCTTAGCCTGTCCTTTATACCTTAGGGGAGGGGCAATCACCTCAAAGTCTTACTCTCAAGTTGCCCCTTTTGTTTCAACTGCTCTTGCCTTCTAGCAGCTCTGCGCACACACGTACTGGGAACAGGCTCCCTTTGTTCCTCATCCTCTCTGCTGACAGACTGGAGGCTCCGGAGTCAGCACATAATTCCCAGATGATCCTGGCCCCATCTCTGCATCGGATGCAGGACCCTCATCCGAGTCCTCCCCAGACTTCCAGACTGGTCCCCGTTCTTCCCCACTGTCCGATTCTGCTGCCTTCTACACAGGCTGCCGGCAAACCACAACAACAACTTTAGCTAGCCTAGTCCATATTAATGAGAATTGGGGGTTCCAGGTTGCAAAGGCTCCTGAACGGAATGATTCGATTAAGCTGGAGCGAATTACTTTTGACTCTTGTTTGAGTTGTTCTAATTGTTTTAAGTTGCTTTCTTTTTCTTTTTCTTTTTCAAACCAACCTTCTGAAACCAGCTCTCCTGTCCAAAAGAATGCATTAACCGAACTTCTGCCTTCGGATAACGTACCAGAATCGATGACTGTGGGTAGGTCGCTATTCGACTGTATTTGGAATTTATTTTGTTTTTTTAATCCTTTAGATTCCGGGGAAAACATTTTGTTAAAACAGGTTTCCATCTTGGGAGACCCTCAAAAGTAGGTTTGTTGAGGGTTTGTATTTGCTGTTGGTGGCTGCTAAGTATTTTTAAATATTTTCCTAAACCACAAACATTTACCTTTCAGAGCTGAAGGAGAAGCCAAATTGCTTGCTCTAGGCCTGTGATGGTTAACCTATGGCATGCCACAAGTGGCACGCAGAGCCATTTCTGCTAGCACGCGAGCCACAGGCAAACTTACTTCACTGCGCATGCACGTGCCTCACAGCTGATTTTTGGGGGGGCTGGTTTGAGGCCCTTTTCGGCCTCCCAGAGGCTTGAAAAAAGCCTCTGCTGGCCGAATAGGCCCATTTCATCACTTCCTCTAGTACCGGAAGTGACAAAATGGGCCTATTCGGCCTGCAGAGGCTTTTTTCAAGCCTTCGGGAGGCCGAAAAAGGCCTCAAACCAGCCCCAAAAAATCCAGCTGTGAGGTGCAGTGCAGATAAGGGGCGGTGGTGGCGGGTTGGTAGTGGTGGGATTGTGCATGCATGTGCAGGGGGTGTGCGGGGCATACATTGCCTTCTGGGTGCTGGCACTTGAGGCGTGTGCACTAGTGCGCACACAATTTTTGTCACAGGAGCTCAACAAGGTTAGCCACCACTGCTCTAGGCTGTTCTAGTATCAGGAGATGGAGCTTCTTTCTGTGTGAATGCTGCTTGACTGATTATTTTATGAACCTCATCATAGTACAGGTCGTCCTTCATTACAACGGTTCGTTTAATGACCGTTCGGAGTCACAGCGGCACTGAAAAAAGGGACTTATGTTCATTTTACAACCCAGGCAGCCTCCCTGCGGTCATGCGATCAATATGCAGATGCTTGGCGACTGACTCATACTTACGACCGTTGCAGCATCCTGGGGTCACGTGATCCCCTTTTGGAACCTCCTGGCAAGCCAAGTCAACAGGGGGAACCAGGTTCACCTAACAACCACGTTACTGGTGTATCAACTACAGCGATTCACGTAACAACTGTGTAAGGTTGTAAAACGGAGCAAAACTCACAATTACGACCACCATGGAGCCCAAACATTTTGTTGCAACATGAAACAACCAAAGTTTGAGCTCAACTGTGGCCGTAAGTCAAGGACTCCCTGAGAAACGGTTTTGATCCAAGGAAGATCAGTCACAGCATTTACCCGACAGAGGGCAGCGTTGCCTTTGTGTTTGCTGATCCTCTATATCTATATCCAGCAAACTGACTTTTTTCCAAGTGGTTTTGCTGCATTCAAGTGGATGAAAGCAAACTTGATTTGCAGACAGCCGGGAAGATGACTTACTTCAGGGTCCCTATCCTTAAAAAAATACAAACTCATCAGGGTTGTGAACGTTGAAAGAAAAAACGATCCAGAAGATGTACTCGCACGAATGCTGTGAATCTTTCCCGTTTATTAAAAAGAGTAACTTTCCTCCTTCCGGTTTCTAACATGCCAAAGGGGGGATATTTGCTTTGAGAGCCACAACAACTCGCTTGAAGGGGTTTCATAAAGTTGTAGCTTCCGTTTGATTGATTCAGTGTCGTTGGGTTTTGTTTTGTTTTTGCCGAAGCTTGAATGAACTTTGAGTGGAGGAAATGCGACGTTCACACAAATTCTGAACGCGCTCCTTAGTGTAGCTAGTGAAATACATTTACAACCTTCAAGTTTATGACAGTGATTTTGGATGCAATCCGGTGTCAAAAGTAGTTTGAATAAGAACTAGTTGCGGCATTCCCCCTATAAGATGCTCAAATTCGAAAATAACTCAGTGAAAAGTTCAGAGTTAGTTGTCTGCCTGCTCTTTGGATATTTATCTGGTTGTGTTCGGTGACTAACCCTCTGGGCACCTACAAATTTATTAAGCCGTGCTTGGCAAACAATGGACATTTTCCTCGTTGCTTAAAAGTCCTAATTTTAGTAGCCTTGTTTGCTTGCGAGCTATGCTGAGCACATGCAAACAGCTGCAGAGAAGTCTTTAGCAATAGTAATAGCACTTAGACTTATATACTGCTTTCCAGTGCTTTCCAGCCCTCTCTAAGCGGTTTACAGAGTCAGCCTCTTGCCCCCCAACAATCTGGCTCCTCATTTTACCCACCTCGGAAGGACGGAAGGCCGAGTCAACCTTGAGCCTCGTGAGATTTGAACTGCCAAATTGCAGGCAGCCGGCAGCCAGCAGAAATACCCTGCACCACATCCCTTAACACTTTCCGCCAGTGTTTCTCACCCCTTGACAACTTTAAGCAGTTGAACTCTCAGAATTCCCACGGCTGGATGAGGAATTCTGGGAATTGAAGTCTACACATCTGAAAAGGGCCAAGGTTGAGAAACACCGGTTTAGGCAAATAGAATGTCCCTTCCCCGGCCCAGGTTTGAGTTTTAATTCGGACATCCAGCCAAATTGGTTCTCTTCCACGTTGCTCAATCTTAATTCAGTTGAGTAGGTTTCCACCTAACACGTTGGGGCAGATTCAAGCCTATTATGGTTGATTTAGCAGATCACGGCTTAGAAAGATGTGTGAACACAGCCCCTGAATTCAGACCGATGTCTTCCTTGAGTTCTTTAAGCGTTAATGGGATTCGGTAAGAGTGAGCACCTGCGATATATATATATGTTGTGTGTGTGTGTGTTTATACACATATATATTTGTTTTCTATACATATATACACACACAGACACGGACACACACACACATATATACACATACATGTACACACACACGCACACACTCACATGTATCGCAAAAGATTTGTTTTTTAATGAGTAGCTTTTTTTTCCACTTCATTTTTTCCCCCCAAGGGAACAGCTTCTGAACAATGAAGCTTCCAGCCTGTTGCATAGCAACTTAAGCCGCTAAACATGTAGCAGGTGTAACATACGGAAGACGGGATGACGTGAAAGCCATGTCAGCTCTCCCAACAAGCGGTTTTTAGCAGCCTTGAAACACGTGGGAGCTGAGCGAGAACTTTTCCTGCCTTCCAAGTCTCTTGTTTTTAAATAACTTTGTCAATTTTCGAAAGGAGACACAAAGTTAGAAAAGAAATAAAATTAGAAAAAGGAAAGGCCTCTGAAAGGAACAAAAGGATAAGTGTAAGTGTGCATGTGTGTCTACACACACACACACACACACACACACACTTAGACATACACACACACACACAGAGAGAGAGACACACAATCATTTTGTAATCATCATTTTAGCCAGGATGCTACTTCAAACTCTTACTCTAAGATGAACATCTGGGCACATTTTGATAATTTGGAACATTTTGATAATCCCATATAATGCTAATCGAATCCCCCAAATCAGGTCTTTGGGCCTTTCACTTCCTCGCAAAAGGTACAATCATGCTTTCCGTGTAGAAATAAAATTTGTCAGACTTTTCTTTCATCAAAACTGTCAATTTCTCCATCTCTGCCAATTCCACCATTTTCGGTGTCCCTTGTTGCATTGTAGGTATCTATAAGTCCTTCCACCCTTGAGCATATAAAAGCCCCATTGCCGTTATCGTATATAAACACAGAGGTCCATAAGAAATTTCCGTTTGCTTGTCCATTAATGTCGGAGAAAAGCAGGCAGAACTTCTGGAGGTAGAGTTAAGAGAATCATCAGCTTAGAATCATTACATTGCCACAAACAGTTCAATAGCTCTTGAATTCTGTTGAATTTATCTGGTGCCAGTTTAGTAGCGCACTTTACTTGGCTGGATTGAAGCTTGAGCAATAAATCTCCTGAACTGGAACTTAATGCATAAAACTGATACTTTGTGCCTGAAAATTAAATCCAAAAGAAAAGTCTGCAGTTTCTGACTCTCTGCCAAGCCTGGAAGCCAATTTTTATTTTTCATTGGGATGCTATTTTATCAACACCCCAAAAAAGTAGATGCACGCTGATAAATCATTTCATTTCCCCATCATTCTCAAGAGTGCTTTGCAGCCTCCGGTGGTTTGGATTAGCCATGGAAAGTGTTTTAAATTAACACCTTGGCCTGGGGAGATGGTTGTGTGCTTGTGAACAGGCTCACGGTGTTTTCTGCAGATAAACCACTCAAATGTGCTAATTTGGAGAAGCAAAACATTGCCAGCTTTAACTGGAGACTTTGGGGGAAATTGTGATATGTGCATTTGATACCAATCATTTGTAGAGGAAATCTTTGCTAAGCTCCTTCTAAATTGTGGATCTTTTGTTGCTCTCTGAACTTGATTGTTTCCTTGCAGATGTTTCATGACCCAACTAGGTAACATCATCAGCACTGGAAGGCTGTGGGGTTTGCCCACTCCACTTCTTTCTAGCTCTGATGTTGTTACCTAGTTGGGTGATGAAACATTTGCAAGAAAACCAAGCTCAGTTATCAAGAACCCCATAGTCATTCTCCTCCTCCTCCTCCTCCTCCTCCTC